CCCCCCCCCCAACCCCCCTACTGGAGACATTGTGCCAGCTTCCTCTGGGCCTGCAGCAGTACTGCTGGGTGAGAGGGTCTGTGCCTGTGGCATGCTGGGTGAGAACAGCTAGCTGCCAACCCCAGAGGGCAGTCCCCTCTTGCCCATGGTTTAAAGGGGGCAGCTCAGTCAGCCCTCCCCCACCCCGCTCCTTGCTGTCTGCTCCTTGCTGTCTGCTCTTTGCTTCCTTGACCAAATCTTGTCCTAGTGGGAGAGAGCAAAGTCCCTGTTTATGCCCATGCCAGGTGCTGGCTGAAGGAGGAGGAGGGGACAGGAAGCCGTGAGTCGGGAGGGGGTGACCCTGGCCTTTTCCGTTCCCAAGCTCCCAGGTTTCCTCTCTTTCAGGAAGGAGCCTCTTCCCTGCCCCTTTCCGCGCCTTCCCTGACGCCACTGCCCCCCTTTCCCAGATGGGGAGCAAGAGTCAAAAGGGTCCTAAGTGGAGCAGATTGTATCCCAGGAAAGGGGGTGACGGGTGCCCCCACCAAGCAGAGTTCTGCCCTGTTCACTTGGCCACCTGTACCCCGATCATACCCAGGACGAAAGAGAAGCCAGCCCAGATTGGAGTCCACGGGCAGCCAAGCTAGGCCCAGCTGAGGGCCAAAGATGAGGTGGCAAGGAGCTAGGCGGGTGTGAGGCTGGCACAGTGACTCAGGGCAGCGAGCATCCATCGGCCCTGGGATCTTGGAGGGGACAGCGTGGGAAGGGTGGTGCTACTGCGAGCTGGGCAGGGGCCTCCTTGGTGCTGGAGGGACAAGTACCCTGCCCATTCAGACCTGCCAGCCCCCTTTGCCTGGGGGCGAGTGCCCAGGGCTAGTGGACACTGTGCCATCCTGGGGTCCACATTTGACAAGGTAAATTTTCACGGACTCTCCTGAATGCCAGGGAGGGTGGCAGAGGTGGATGAGGAATGAGTCAGTGCCCTTCACTGGAATGGGGGAAGGATGCCAGGCCCAGAGCTGAAATACCTGTTCTGAAATGGCTTCTATGTTTATCTCTCCAGAGAGGAATTTTAAAAGCCTCTCTCTGCTTCTCTCTCTCTCTCTCCCTGCCTCTCTCATTCTCCTTCTCCTCTCCAGGGTGGGGGAGGGGCCCTGGTCAGCCTAGCTTGAGAACTGACAGGCCACCGCAAGGCCAGGCCTCTTAGGGGTCATGCTGACTGGGCAGTGGGTGCCCACCTCCAAGGCCTTGGCCTAATTCCCGACACTCCTCCCACCACCCGTGCCCAGGGCTTTGGTTTGTAGCAAGTTGGCAGCCAAGTCTGCTGAGTCTCTAGCTGACAGTGCTTAGGGGAATTCAGAGAAGCTGACCAGCTTGGAGAGGGAGGTGAGGAGGCACTTTTCCCCCTTACAGGACCCCACCCAGGCTGGAGCCAGGTGTCTGGAGCTGGGGGGAGGGACTGGTGGGCAGTCAGGCTGGAGCCTGCGGAGCCTGGAGGGAATGGGCTGGGGGAGGGGAGCTGGCTCCACCTTGGGAGGAGAGGCAACCTCAGATCTGAGAACTCCCGCATTTCTGGAGCTCACCTCACAGCTGATTGTATGGCTTTTGCAGATAAAGGGACAATGGTGTTGTGGGTGCTTGGAGAAAAGTGGACAAGGAGACCTGAGCAATATTTTAAGTAGCTAGAAGGAGAGATTTGAGGGGAATGAATGAATGGATGAAAGTGACTTAACTTCAAGGATTCAGGCGTTATCTGTGGGCCTGGGTATACGGGAGGTTTGGGGGGAAATGAAGCTGAGAAATGTGAGATATATGCAATGGGTGAGGGCGGGAAATGAAAGAAGAGAAATGAAGACATAAATGTGCTGAGGCTTGTGCTAGCCTGGTAAAGAGGAAGGGTTGCTTGGATCCTGAGGATAGAATGGGCCAGTAGGGTCTCAGACTGGGTCCAGTAGCATTTAAAGGAACACCTGGTAGAATAAATTTGGGGAGCCCTAACTGGTTTGGCTCCGTGGATAGAGCGTCGGCCTGCGGACTCAAGGGTCCCAGGTTCAATTCCAGCCAAGGGCATGTACCTTGGTTGCGGGCACATCCCCAATAGGGGGTGTGCAGGAGGCAGCTGATCGATGTTTCTCTCTCATCGATGTTTCTAACTCTCTATCCTTCTCCCTCCTCTCTGTAAAAAAATCAATAAAATATATATTTTTTAAAAAGAATAAATTTGGGGAAATATTTACAGGTAGAAGAGAATGATGAGTG